TGGATAGGTAATATAAGATCGATACCGATCAGCAGCAGACCAAAGGCAGTTTTGATGTATATTTTGAGCCATCATTTAACACTAAGAAGTACAAATTTGAATATTTCAGAGTGTAGTATGCATGGTGTTACCCTTTAAAAAGACTTTAAAAAAAAAACAGAATAAAGAATACAGAGTTTAAAATATTAGTGGAATTTATGCGATGCGTTCCAAATCCAAACTATGTAAACCGTCCTTTTCAAATATCTGGGTTGTAAGTGGCTCAAAAAGATCTGTGCTGTTGAAGGCATTGAAGAGGGGGAGAGTTGGGAGGTAGTGTGTAAGGGTGGAGTTGAATATACTTTACTTTCCCCAATGAAGGTATAGTCGACTGATAGGTCTCAGTGCTTAGTAGTTAAGCGGGAAAGTTTTGCGCAGTTGAAGACACACACGAGTGGAGTGGGGGAAAAGTTGGTTGGGGGGGGGGGGAAGAAGGGGGATATACTTTACTTTCCCCAATCAATTTCTTCATTTCACGAGATGAAAGCATAGCCGCCTGGGAGTGATAGAAACCTCTGCGAGTTGTAGATCGGCAGGAAAGTTCTGAGCTGTTGTCTCCCTTTGTTTCAGCCGGTCTCCTGGGGGGCCGCGGCGGCCTGTTCGTTGAGGAACCAAATGCTGGACTCCAAGACCTGGGCTTGTAGAACGTTCAGATCTATCACTCGGTACGTGTTCTAGTGTCCGGCGATTCTCTCCACTAGCCTCATAAAACTAGTCTTAATTAAGAACCCAAAAAATATATGGATTTGGAACGCAACGCATGGAATTTCTGTTATTTCGCGAAAGCATAAAAGGTTCTTCTTTTTAAAAAAAATGTAGTTTTCTACTCATTCGTTATTTTCTGAAATGTAGAGCGCTATGAATTACTTTTTTTCTTATTGCATTCCAACGTATCACTCTTCTACATTCATGACTAGACTCGAACCATCGTAAACAGCCATCCTACCAAGACCATCACCTATACAAACGATCATTTTTTTTACTTTCCCACTTGCTTTTTTTTCTCTGTTGCATAGCCACTATTCAAAAGGTTCATTAGTCTAAGTAAACATTTTTTTTCTTCCGGACAACGGGTAATTGTCTTGGAAAATGACGACTAGCCTTTTCACCACCTCTCTGTCTAGTCTTACCACTTTTGTATGTCATTTAATTTCATAACCATCTTTCAAACCGGCGTCCATCGTGAAGCGGTTTCGGCACTTCGTTGACAAAGACATAGGGCCAGAGTTCAATTCCCGTGAGGGGAGAAATTTTTATCGAGCATCTTGATCTTTCCGATGAGACGTTGACAGCTACTTAGCTAGATAAATAGGCAGATTGATAGCACAGTAACTCATAGATGGATAAAGCAACTTTCATATAGTCTATATCATATGTATAATACCGGTATTGTTATGATATAGATAAACAGGTTGGTAGATAGGTGAATGGAACAATAGACAGATACATAGGTAAAAAAAAGTACATGAGTAGAAAGAGAGACAACTAACAAATCTGACTAATCATCATTTTCTCCATCCACAGTATTCTAGGGATTTTGGGACTTTCCGAGGTCGAACGTCGAGCAATTCACAAATCTGCAGTTCAGGAAATGATGTTGAGAGAATGGATAGAATCAAGAAAGGACATGAGCAACAGCGCACTTCAACGTATATTATTATATTCACAGCGGTAGATCCAGCGACATCAGATGTCAAATCCAGCAGTATATCAAAATAAAGACGATGACAAATTTTGAAATCAAGCGCAACGTTGTGATTTTACAGAGTTGTATACAGGTGTCTCTCTGTTGACGATTGTGTCCCAAAGCGTCTCCCTTTCATTTTGGTTTTTCCAAAAAATCCCCGTGCTCCTTTCTTCCTTTCTCCCGCCTCTCTCTCTCTCTCTCTCTCTCTCTCT